TCGTCCCGCGCATCCCGCCCCGTGCATGTGCCTCCACCTGGTCCATGCCCCCCAGCCCAGTGCATGCGCTCCTAAGCTAGTGCGTGCCCCCCAGCCCTGTGCTGCCCCCCACCGCGCGCCCTGTGCATGGTCCCCTGGCTTCGTACATGTGCCCCCGCATCCCGTGTGTGCCCTCTAGCTCCGTGCTTCCCCCCACCCCGTGCATGCCCCTCCAGCCCCTGGGGGAGCTGGGACCCCGGCAGCTTTGGGGCCGTGCATCCCCCCCCACCCCGTGCATGCAGCTGTGGGGGCTTCTAGTGTGGGGCCCAGCAGGGATCAGGGGCCAGCTGTGCCTGGGCACGTGCTATTGAAAGCTCCTGGTATGAGGGCTTGGCAGCCCCCCCCCCCCCCCCGGGGGGGGGGGGGGGGCCAACCCCCCAACCCGGGGGTTTTAAAAAAACCGGCCCCCGGACCACGGGCCCCCCCCCCCCCCCCGGGCCCCGCCCCCCCCCGGGGGGGGGGGGGGGGCCAACCCCCCAACCCGGGGGTTTTAAAAAAACCGGCCCCCGGACCACGGGCCCCCCCCCCCCCCCCGGGCCCCGCCCCCCCCCGGGGGGGGGGGGGGGGCCAACCCCCCAACCCGGGGGTTTTAAAAAAACCGGCCCCCGGACCACGGGCCCCCCCCCCCCCCCCGGGCCCCGCCCCCCCCCGGGGGGGGGGGGGGGGCCAACCCCCCAACCCGGGGGTTTTAAAAAAACCGGCCCCCGGACCACGGGCCCCCCCCCCCCCCCCGGGCCCCGCCCCCCCCCGGGGGGGGGGGGGGGGCCAACCCCCCAACCCGGGGGTTTTAAAAAAACCGGCCCCCGGACCACGGGCCCCCCCCCCCCCCCCGGGCCCCGCCCCCCCCCGGGGGGGGGGGGGGGGCCAACCCCCCAACCCGGGGGTTTTAAAAAAACCGGCCCCCGGACCACGGGCCCCCCCCCCCCCCCCGGGCCCCGCCCCCCCCCGGGGGGGGGGGGGGGGCCAACCCCCCAACCCGGGGGTTTTAAAAAAACCGGCCCCCGGACCACGGGCCCCCCCCCCCCCCCCCAGCAGGGATGCAGCTGGTCCTGGGTATGGGGCTGGAGGGGGATCTACACTGCACCGGCACCAGGTTTCATTCCCATTGGCCCCGGTGTGGGCATCAGCAGGGTGCTGGGGCTGGGGGGCAGGAACAGCCCCTGCCCCTGGCTGAGGCACGGTGCCAGCTCCAGCCTGAATGGGGCATGGGACAGCTACCAGCCATGTCCTGTGTTGGCTGCACTGGGAAGGGCTGCAGGCTGGGGTCCCGGTGAGAAACAAATCTCCTGAGCAAGGGCCCTGGTGCTTAAGCTGACCCCCATGAGGCAGGGCAGAGATTGGGCCCACAGAAGTGGTCTGGCCTTGAAGCTGGCCGTGGGGTATGGATGGGGTGCTGGCAGGGCATGCCGGCTCCGGGGCAAGGACCCGTTTCCCAGAAGCCCTGGGACAGCGTCACGTTCCAGTGCGGACATGACACCATCTCCACCCGGATTGGCATAAGACTGCGTTCCCCCAGTCAGGGCTGCCACACCTCTGAGGCCTACATCCTGCTCTGGGGGTTTCTGGCTCCTTCCCCCCCAGCCAGTTCTTCTGCCACCTGCGTGGGGCAGACAGGGCAGCGCAGAGGGACAGCTCTTTTCAGAATTGCTCAGAGGGCTGGTTCTGCTCCGTGCCTTCCTAGGCATCAGGAGCAGGGCCAAGTTATCTGCAGAGCTTGGCATTGGTTGTGACGCCCATGGCCAGATCTTTCTCTGGACTGGGGGTGCTTAATGTCCAGCCCTTGAGTCCACGTCACCTGGCCTGTGGATATCCCCACAGGTCTGAAAATTTGGTAGTGGGAGAGCAGTAATTGATAGCACGCATTGCCAGCCATCACTCCTGATCACATGCATGTGCTGGGAGCAGCCTGTGGACAGTCCCTGCGGGGCTCATCCAGAAGGTTGTGAACCACTGCTCTGGACTGAGCGTGGGGTGTGCTGAGCTGTCTTGGACAGCTAGTCCAGCATTTCAGTGCCTAGCTGGCTGTGATGGTCTGGTGTTGACAGAGGGATCATGGAAAGCAAAATGCCAGTAGCGTGGCACTGAGCTGCTTACCCCAGGTGCAAAACCCCAGAAAGGCCTAGGGATCTTTGAAACAGGAAGTTCTTCCCCCAGACTTGAATGCCTCTTCACAAGCTAGGAAGCAGGGGAGGCTCAAAGTCTTCTGAGCCAGATCTGTCCTGCAGTGGCTAGGAGCCTGCATGGCATTGACTCCATCAGTGTGTGGCTGGGGTTAGGCCACGAAGTGTCTTGCTGCTGTCACTGCTGCCAGTGTTACCGAGGGCCACTTGTAGAAAGACTCATCTCAGCATTGTGTTGCCTGTTGGTGGTCTCGGGACAGAGTTCAGCATCTCTGCTTGTCCCTCTCCGTTCTGCTGGCAGATTGTACACTGCCAAGGCTGACATGAATTCCTCCTGCCTTGGGAGAACCAAAGAAAACTCACTGCAGTCATCACATGGATCTGGTTTTAAGTCTTTAAGTTGGCCCCATTTTGTGTGTCAGTGAAGGGGGCTGGAAGGAAGAGGCCAGAAAGGCACACTGGCAGAGTTAGGAGTAGGGTGGCAGGACTCAGCAAGGGAGGCTGCAGGACAGGAGTGGTAGATGTCAGCAGAGGTGGATGGGGGGGGATTTCTTTGTTCTGTAGATTTCTCCCTCCCTGCTTTGTCTAGAAGCTATGATCAGCAGGGATCCGGGTTTCCCTTCACCATAGAAAATCGCAGTAAAGGTTGCATTTTCTCCTTTCAAGGAAAAAAGTCCAGGTTTTCTCCTTTAAAGGAGAAAAATGCAGGAAATGCCAGGTTTCCCCTTGCAGGCTGGCAGAGTTCAAGCATGCAAGGGGCTGGGGGAGTGGGAGCAGGGCAGTCAAGCAGGGGGCACCATGCACTGTGCACACATACACATGCACATGGCTGCCAGGCAGCCTGGAGAGCAGCTCCCACAGGTAAGTCAGGGCAGGGGGAGGAGTTGAGGCCCCCATAGTGAAGGAAAGAGTTGGGTTGGGGCTGCTGCCCAGCGGGGTAGTACATGGGGCTTGGGGCCTGGGGCCATGTGTGGCCACAAAGTCTGGGCAGGGTGTGGGACAGCCACAGGCGACTCATCCAGTGGGGAGCAGGCTGGTTGTCTGCCACTGTGCACGTTCTCAGGGGGAGCATAGGGAGCATATGCCCCCCAGATTTGCGTGCAGGCTGGAGGTGGGCCACCTGCTGCAGGCTTAGGCTCCCTGCCCAGCAGGTGGAACCCGGTGCAGCAGGGCAGAGCAGGTCAGGGAAGTTCAGTACTGCCACTGCAAGCCCTGTGCTGCCATGGCGAGGTGCCCCCTGCCCACCCGGGGGCGGTGGTGAGTAGTTGTGCCCCCTGTTGCTGCCAGGTGGACAGGGGGCACCTCTCTATGGCAGTGCAGGGCTCACAGTCTCCCTGCCCTGCTCTGTCCTGTTGTGCCAGGTCCCAGTGGGGAGTGAGGGGCACTGGCAGGGCCGGGGAGAGTGAGGAGCCTGGACCTGTACTGGTAAGTAGCTGGGGTAGCTGTGATTTTTCCATGATAAAAAATCCCAAATCAAACACCAACATTTATAGGTATTTAGAATTTATTTTATTATAATGATTGAGACACTGGTAGGCTTCCAAATTGCTTTAAAATTGTAAATATGTCAGTAAAACATTGTGTTCAACTGATATCTATGTATAGTGGTATGTCATTTTAATCCTGGATTTGTGGTTTTTTAATCAGAGAATTTGCAAACTGTGGTTTTATCAAAGAATATGCAATTTTTAAACAGAGAAAACCAGGATCCCTGGTAATCAGGGTGGAGTTTGGGCTAGGGGAACGGTTACTCTAAATCTCTCAGCCAGGGCCTAAATTGTGATGTGCCAGAAGTTGAAGAGGGAGGACAGGGAAGTGGGAAGGTGGGGCTGTGTCCCACGCAGGTTCTGGGATAGCATGTTTGATAGTGACCCTCCTGTGTTAAGGGGAACAGTAGCTGAGTTTGTGATTCAAATTTCCTGGCCGTTCTGCGGGTCTGAGACTATGAAAGCTCCTTTCATGCCTGGCAAGAGCTAGTGTGCTGCCTGCTTGTTGCATAGTGCTACCTGTAACACTAGCTCCCTGTTCGAGTGACGCTGGAGGAGGGAGGAACTTGACGCACAGAACCAGCTCATGGGGCCACAAAGCAATTAGCCGCGGAGGGGGAGAGAGAGCCATTGTCCAGCTGCCGTGGGCCTGGGATAGCAGAGCTGTTTCTTTTCCCACAGTGGCTCAAATGGGACTGGGGAGGCCTCAGTGGATACTGTCCCAGTCACCAAACCATGAGTCTTCTCACCTATTCTGGCCATCTGTACAGGCTCCCCCAGCTCCAGGAAAGGCAAATGTCTTCAGCTCTCTCCCTAACTGACACCTCCTCCCTTGTATCCTCAGTACAGTTGCCTTGCCAACCCCAAAACCCCTGTTTCCCTCCTCCCCACATCTATAGAGCACTGACCCCCACTTGCTGCTGATAAATCTAGTTTAAATGTGACTTCTTGAAGCAGGGAGTGAGTGGGGGAACCATACAGGCTGCCTTGCTTCCCCCAACATACCAGGGTCACTATGGTTGCTGAGGACTTGGCTGCTTCTTTTTTTTTTTTTTTGGGGGGGTGGGGATACAAACACATCAAATGTGTGTGGGGAGGAGGTTGGGGTGGGGGGTGCAGCTTTCAGCCCAGAAGTCCACATGGGATTAACATACAAGGACCCTCTCTGCCCCACCCCCCGTGGCAGGAAGCCCTAGTGGTTTGGAGGGGTGGTGCTGAGTCAACAATGCCACAAGTAACACGGTGAAAGCCAGGCAGGGACAGAAACGTTCCCAGGCCCCTTTTACCCTCAAACACCAGGCCAGTTGAACCCTGCACCCACTCTGATGCCAAGACCTTGTTCTTGCTGGGCCTGGTGGCACATGAGAATGGGGCAGTGAAACTGGCCCTGGAGCAAAACAGCAACTTCTGCTTGTCTCTGGGTTGGGCATTTCTGGAGTTTTAGTCAAGTGAGAAACAGAGAGATGTGTGTACATGTTCTCTCTGGGCAAGGGCTTTGGACTTTGGGTGGCTGGAAATCTGCCCAACAGGGAAATGCCCCCAGGTCCTGACAGGTATGGGGCATGGTTGATGATGCAGGGAGGGGGAAGAGTGGTGGGATGATGAAGGCACATTTGTTTCCTATCTTAATACTCTGTTTCTGGTTTCAGGTTGCCAGGGGTTAGATCAGGGCTGGCCAAGAACAGTGCAAAGGAGAACCGCAGATGTGATAGCTGGAGGCACATTCTGGGTGGTATCCTCAAGGGCATTAATTCATTTTTGGAGCCCTCCTTGTGCGGGTCACTTGGGACATTCAGAACAAGCGAGTCCCTGGCCGCCAGATACAGAACCCAGGCAGGCAGCCTGACTCCCAGTGCCCTGCTTCAATGCTATGGGCTAATCAGAGCCCCTTCCCCCTGCCATGAGAGTGGGTGTTGCCCGACAGCACTGTGTGTACAGAGAGTTCTTGTGGGGCAACAGCATCTTTTGCCCTTGCTGACCCACAGCCATAATTTGCTCCCCACTCTTGTGCCTTTAGTGAGTTGCTGTCCCTGGAGGTGAGTAGTTGATGGGGACTCAGGGCCTTTCCTGAGGAGACAAGTCCTGCTAGTGCTGCTGGGTGCTAGCAGGAGCAGCTCTCTGGCTAATCTAAGGGTGCTCCAGAGGAAGGTGGTGGTAAGAGCCCCACCACTGTTGAAGGTGTCTGGCTAGAAGGGTGTGCCCATGTAATTTCCACTTGGCTCTCCAGAGTATCCTTGCATGTTCTCAGGGGCACGTCCTGTTCCTACCCAGCAAGGTCAATCCCCATCCTCCCACCCCCCTGCCATTCTCTTCCGGCCTGGCAGCGTTCCAGTCTGTCCAGCGCGCTCTACCCGCCTGTCACCTGCGGCAGCAGGAGGTGTGAAGGGAACAGCCCGTTGTTTTGCAGAAAGGTCACTCTGGCCCGGATGCTGAAATACGAGCAGCAGGGCAAGAGCTGCTGTTCCTATTTAATAGCTTTTCCCCCTCCCCCGAGTAAAGATTTTGGCTGACAATTAAGCACGTCCCAGTAAGGTTTCCAAGGAGAGACAGCAGTTGGAGCTGCTTTCTGTGTAAAACTGTCATTAGCACCAGGGTCTGACACCCCCTGGGACACCCCAAGTGCCTGGGAAATTAGAGCTGCAAATACCCTGGGCTACAGGCCAGAGCTGATAACTTTCTCAAAGGTACTTGTTTCTCCTCTGCCCCTGATCCTGCAGGTGCTTTATAAGCCACCTAAACTGGAACTGCTGCATCCACCTCTGGGCAGGATGCCATGGCTGTTTGACTGCTACCAGAAGAGAAAGGGAGGAGGCTTCTGTTGTGTGGTGGAGAGTGAGGAGGCTCATTGGGATTGTCTGACATGGCACCTGTCCAGGGCACTCCCCATACTCAGTGCAGTTTCCTGTCCCATCCCCTCCTGACTCACCCCAGCCAGTTGATCAGAAAGCCCCAATCATGGAGATGTACCTGAGCAGTTCAGAGAGGGGTGGGGAACTTCTCAGCTCCCAGCCAGGCAGTGGGCTGCCTGTGCCACCCTGAAAGGATCCTTAGTGAGTGATTGGAAAGGGCTTTGCTGCTGTGCCTGAGGGCTCTGTCCTGCTTGGGGAGTGAGGGCTGGAGTCCCTTGTGCTGCTGGTGTGCTGTGGCACATTTCTATTGCTGCTGCCCAGGCCAAGGTAACGCCACCCCCCGCCCCACCCCAGGGCTCACTCTCTGGATTTCCTTCTCTCGGTAGGTTGTACCTGGCTGTCATGCTAGCTGCTCTCCCACCCATGGCTGCCAGTGAAGCAGTACCAGCTGCCCTGCAGGACACATGGGGGGACTTCTGGCTCTTCCGTTTCTTCATCAATGCTGCTGGCTATGCAAGCATCCTGGTGCCGGGGTACCTGCTCATCCAGTACTTCAAACGAAAGAATTACCTGGAGACAGGTAAGAGAGGATAACGCACTTCAGTTCTACTCCTGTCTTCTGGCTTTGGCCTGGACGTGCCTCTGTCAATGCACCTTGGTCCTGACCCACAGGTCTAAGGCCCTCTGGACCTAGGCTAATTAGGGACTGTTCTGAGACAGCCAAACTCATCTAGATCATCTCAGCGGTCTTATCTCAACCACGGCAGCTATGGCTGTTTCCTGTTAGATAGCCTGAAATCCATCAGAGGCAGCCCAGGCCAGCATGGGTAATGGGTTTATCCTTCAGATCTGCAAGCATGTGGGCTCTTCTTGCTCAGCTCCTCTCAACTCAGATCAGGGTGTTTGGCTGGACAGGACTTTGGTTGAGGTGCCTCAGACAACAGAAGGCCAGAGATCCTGTTATGAAACTCCAGGTGGGGTAGTACAGGGGCTGGCATTGGTAGACACTCTAAAGGCAGGGCAGAGTGGCATCTTATAGCCTAAGTAATTTAGCAAAACATAACCTGGAGTGACTGGGGTGTGATGGTGCTTCTGCTGGGACCACAGCCTGAGGTTCCTGGCTGGAGGATCTTGCCCCTCCACTCTGGGTCAGACTGATCACCATATTTGGGGTTAGGAAGGAATTTTATCCTGTGGTCAGCTTGGTGGGTGTTTTTGCCTTTCTCTGTTGCAAGGGGGCATGGCCCTCTCCCTGGGATTACTTGAGCAAATATTGACAACCTTTTATAGAAGCAGGTGGGGGTGTTATGTCTGTGTTGTGTCAGGGTTGACAACTATCTTACATAGAGTTTAAATTATAGATTTTTTAGGATGATTTGGATCAGGATGATCCTGCCTCAGGCAGGGGGTTGGATTAGATGACCTCTGGAGGTCCCTTCCAGCCCAGCTTCTCTGTGATTCTAAGCTTTCATAAGCAGCAGCTAACTTGTATTTAAATTATTGCTGTGTATTTAGAGCCTCTGCTGCCTGCAGGTCTATTCATACCATCTGATGAATCAAGCTGCTGTTTACGAAAGCTTATGCTTGTCTGAATTAATTAGTCTCTGAGGTGCCACTCTGCCCTACTTTCTGACTGACTTCAGGCTAACACAGCTATACTTCTCTCAGGTAGACACTGTTAGCAGCTGGCCGACTTTCTTCTATCCCATGTTAATTGTGGCTTGTGCCCCCCTGGCCCTAACCAGGCTAACACTATCTCTGGTTCTTTTGCTCCTCCAGGCCGTGGCATTTGCTTTCCTGTCATTAAGTCATGTGTCTTCGGTAGCGAGGCCAAGTCTGCACATCAAGATGACATCCCTTTAGCTGCCCGGAGTGAGCCCATAGAGTCCTCGACAGCCCGGCAAGTTTTCAAGCTGCTCTTCTGTGCTGTTGGCCTCCAGGTAGAGACTGAGCATGTTTGTAGCCACTTTCTTTGGGGTATGGGGCTGGGGAGAGCAGGAGGACAGAGGGATAGAGAACAGGACCTGATATGCAGGCAGCTGATTTGTAGCCTCCAGAGATAAGGCATCTCAGTGTCTGGGGCTCTAATTGATTTGGGCTGTGCCTGGTTGCATTGTATGCTGGGACACGCAGGCTGTAAGGGCAGCGGCAGTCCACTCATTTTTCATGTGCTCTCAGCTCATGGCCTTCTGATCCTTTGAACTACAATAAACCAGCATCTGCTGGGCTGGAAACTGTTGTCCAGTTGGTGCCCTCTTTAGTCCAGATGGATGAATTCCTGCAGGGCGCAATTGATATTTAAAGTGGCGGCTGTTATGGTCTGTACTGGGCATTGGGGCAGCCTGCCTTTTGTCTCGCTGTTCTCACAAGCACTGAGCGTCCCGACTGCCCTGAGGGCAGGAATGTGTTGAAGCTGAGGCTCTCCCCTTAGACAGATTTAATTTGGTAACAGAAGAATCCCTCCAGTGTTGGAATCTAGCTGCAGTAAGGAGGACACATTGGGCCCCACAGCTTTGAGCTACAGCTGCACTATAAGTGCATGAAAGGCAGGCCAGAGTGAGGGAAGGTTGGTTTTTGGAAATGAAGTTATTGGACTGGGCCTCAGGAGAGTGCAGTTTGTTTCTTAGGTCTGACACTGCCTTGCTGTGTCACCTCGAGCAGGTTGCTGAATGTCTGTAACTCAGGCCCTGTCCTGTGGGAGTGGAGACATGTGGATGTCTCCATCAGTGTCTGAGGAGCTTGGGTACCGTGGCAGCAGGGCTGTGTAAGTACTTGTGCAGATGAGCCTGCCCTGCATGGCAGTTCTCTCTGTGCTGGGTTAGAACGGAGTTGTCACTGGTGGGAGAAAGGACTTAGGGAATGACCATGAAAAACTGTTAATACAATGCAGGGGCTGCAGTGTTGAATGCCAGGAACCCCAGAGCAAAGTTTCTATTGGCAGCAGGTTCCAGGCCGTGTCCTTGTCATATTCTCTGTTCCAGTTTTTCTGGTTCAACAGGCAGAGTAATACCTAACTACATGTCTTGTAAAGCACATCCGATCTGAGCAGGGTTGATGGGGCTGCAGGAATGTGTGCTTTGCCATTTCCTTTTCTTTCTGTTTGAGTTTGTGGCTGTCAGTCTAGAGCCAGATGGTTTTTATGAGGTATTTATAGCCTTAATGGTAAGGGGAGCTTGGGGGCTGCCCAGATCTGTGAGTGATGACGTGCCACACACTGTGCCCTCTGTGTGTAACTGGTGGGAGTGGTGGTGCTGTGGGAGTGAGGAGGGAGCCAGCTGAGCTGGCCTTTTCTCAGAGGCTGTGGTCTGGTGCTGGTGGGGATTGTCCTGTGGGTCCAGGCTACTGTGTGTCCCTGTTCTCTGCTGGTTGTAAGTGGGAAGGCATTTGGGCAGGTCTGTACGTTCCTGAGCATGAGGCTACCAGCTACCCCTGCTCCTCCTCACTCTTATGCTTCTCCTACCCTCTACAGGTCTCCTACCTGACATGGGGCGTTCTCCAGGAGCGTGTCATGACCCGGACGTATGGGGCCACAGAGACAGAGCCAGGTGAGAAGTTCAAGGACTCGCAGTTCCTGGTCTTCATGAACCGGATCCTGGCCTTCACTGTGGCTGGCCTGTACTGCGCCCTGACCAAGCAGCCACGCCACGGCGCCCCCATGTACAAGTACTCCTTTGCCTCACTCTCCAACATCCTCAGCAGCTGGTGCCAGTATGAAGCCCTCAAGTACATCAGCTTCCCCACCCAGGTGCTGGCCAAGGCCTCCAAGGTGATCCCAGTCATGCTCATGGGCAAGCTAGTATCACGCAAAAGCTACGAGTACTGGGAGTACCTCACAGCTGCGCTCATCTCAGTGGGGGTCAGCATGTTCCTGCTCTCCAGCGCCCCCAATAAGCATCTCTCCACTGTTACAACCTTCTCGGGCTTGGTCCTGCTGGCTGGCTACATTCTGTTTGACAGCTTCACCTCCAACTGGCAGGATGCTCTCTTCACCTACAAGATGTCCCCCGTGCAGATGATGTTCGGGGTGAACGTCTTCTCCTGCCTCTTCACCATGGGCTCGCTCCTGGAACAGGGTGCCCTGGTGGAGTCGGCCCACTTCATGGCCCGTCATTCGGAGTTCGCAGTCCACGCTGTGCTGCTCTCAGTCTGCTCCGCCTGTGGCCAGCTCTTCATCTTCTACACCATCAGCCAGTTTGGGGCGGCTGTCTTTACCATCATCATGACCTTGCGCCAGGCCTTTGCCATTCTCCTCTCCTGCCTCATCTACGGCCACGCTGTCACTGTGGTGGGCGGTCTGGGTGTGGCTGTTGTCTTTGTGGCTCTCTTCCTGCGGGTCTATGCCCGCAGCCGCATGAAGAAGCGCAGCAAGAAGCTGCCCCCTGGCGATGCACCCATACAGAAGGTCTAGGGGCTGCGGTGCAGACCATGCTCTTGCCCCTCTCCTCCCCTCCCCAGAGCACTCACTTTATTTGTCTCCTCTTCAGGAACCTATGGAGAGGCAGGGCAGGGAGTTGGTGACTCTTTTTCCTTCCAGCAGCTTTTCCTGGAGAAGGAGCTGGAGTGGGCCCAGCAGCAGGGAGATGCACTTACAGTTGCTGTGGCATCTTTCTCCGTTTGCCTTAAATAGGTCTGAGAATTTCAGCCCCTGCCCCACCCCCAGAGGTACCCACACCCCAGCCAAGGGAGTGGGAGCTGTGTCTGATCCCTGTCCGAACTTTCCCCACCCAGAGGGCAGGAGTGTGTAACTCCTGCCCCGGCTTCGCCTGTCTGTTACTTATGTCTTCTCTGGAAGTTTATTTATGAGTGTTAGAGCTTTGCCTCCCAGCCTTATCTTGCCTCCACCTGCACTCCTCATTTATTTTGCCTCTACAGAGCCAGCTACAAGGGAATAGTAAGAAAACACTATTTTTTCTTGAAGAATACCTACAAGTGTGAGGGAAACTCCAGTCCCAATATGAGACACTGCAGGGGTGGCAGTGCTGGCTGGGCAGAAGCTCCCACCAACCCCCAGCAGGTGGGCAGGCTCATCCAGTGGCTGGTGCTATGTGAAACAGTCACCCCTTCCTTTCTGGCTTGGCTTATCAGGTCATTTTGCTTCTTCTGTATTTTCCACTCTGCACAGTCTAGCCCTGCCCAGCCAACCCCAAGGTAGAGAAATCTGCAGGCTCCATGCCCTTCCAGAAAGGCATTATGGTCTTTTGTACTGCTTTTCATTGCCATCTACTACTCTCACAGTCTCGAACTACAACTCCCAGAATCCCCTGGGTCCCTTCCAGGTGTTCTTTCTGTGGCTTCTGGCATTTGTTATTGTCTCCTAAAGTTCAGAGAAGCACAAATGCCCTCCTTGTATTCTCCTCTTCCCGTTTGCAGGAGGTGCCAGTGCCAGCCCTTCCAGGGGCCTGGCTATGTACACAGTGCACTGGGGCCTGAAAGACAGGACAGAGGCTCACATGTGGTTTCCTTTTTTTCCCCTTTGCCTGACCAGTGGTTGCAGCTCTCCCACTGGGATGCAGGGAGCTTGAAGCCTAGCCCTGCGTCAGGGAGGGCTGGGGTTTTACTCTTTTATTGCTGATGTGACCTGACCCATGATGCAAAAGGGAAATGGTTTTGGTACTTTTGAAATGCAACTTTTTTCTCTTTTTATTAAATTAAAAATCTGCTGCAAACTGTGACCCCCCCAGGGGCAAACACTGGTCTGAATGCATGTGGTGGAAAAGGGCAGCCTCTCCTGTGAGCTTGATCTAGGGACTTCAGTCTGGTTTCAGCTGAGCCTCACAAATGCTAATGCTATTTCCACCCCTGAACCTATTGGCTTGACCAGGGTTCTGGCTTGGTCTGGTGCCTGGGAAGTGCAATTTAGTCATCTTCCTCCATAGGTAGTGCAGCCCTGCATGTGGCCTCTGCTAGCTCTGCCCTTGGCAAGTGGAGTAGGGCTGCTCTAAACCCACTGCCTGCCTGGCACAATGAGCCTCCTCTGCTGTTGCAACAAGGCTGAAGAGGCTTGAGTCTGTCATGGTGTTCTCATGCAACAAGCACCCAGCTGGAGGGCTGGATGCGTGAGCGGAGACACCTCCCTGTGGCTGGGCCAGGGACCAGCTAACTCACAGAACCAGAAGGCTGGGATCTGCAGAGACAAGAGTTGCTTTGCACCTAGGCTGTCATATTGGGATGTCTTCTCTGTAAATGCTGTTGTATGGTGGTCACCAGCAACCAGGAAGAAGCTAGCACAGGAAAAGTGGGCAATGAGTAGCTGCAGTATAAAGTGACACTCCAACATAATGAGAGACTGAATGGGGCAGGCCTGCTTGCTCTGCAGAGAAGATGGGACGCGAGTGATTTGGAGAAGGTCGGGAGGGCACTTGCAGCTTTCGGTTTTTCCCCAGTTCCAGGGGCCAGTCAGTCAAACTGAAAGGTGGCAAGTCCCACATCTGTCAAAGGAAGTATTTTTTCCCAGGATGCACTCTTGGCCTGGGGGACTGCTGCTCTGAGACTAGCCAGGCCAAGGTTGTGGGAGGATTTAAAAGGCAATGGGTACTTATGGATAACAATTCAATCCTTTAGATTGAAGGATGGCCCTTTAAGAACAAAATGTTGTAAGCATTTTGTATCAGTGTGTCATCCTATTGCTGTGGGAAAAGGGGTGAGAAGAAATCTACTCCCCTCCCCCCCAAGCATATTCAGAGGCCATTGTCATAAACTGAATATTTTTGTGCCCTCAGTTATAGCTCCCTGTCCCTTCTGGCATCATACAGTCCCACTGAACAGTGGTTCTTCAGGGGCTTCACCTGGAAAGAGCTGGGTGATGGCAGGCCACTGGGTAGGTGCTAGGCTTGCTGGATAGGAGCAGCTGGGCTGGGTAGTGTACGTGGGCAGGTTACGGAAGATGTGGAGGAGGTGTGCTAGAGCAGAAAGGATTAGCAGGAGCTGGAGAAGAAGAAGCTGGATCTGAAAAACAAGTTGCTGGAGAGACCCTGAAGAGCAAAACAGATCAGTGGGAGGGGGAAGCTTTTTCACTGGAGCAGCAGAAGTGGATTTCAAACTGCAGGCTTGGAAGAGAGACAGTTTTTCACTTGCATCCTGTGTGTGTGTGAAGTTTAAGTTACTACCAGTTTGTGAGTTCCCTGGTTTCTGCCTGGTCTTTCAGGGAGGAAAAAAAAACAAAGGCTTTTAACTGAAAGAGAGAGGACTGGAAATGTTGCTACATGTTTTAAAACAGCTTTTCTAATCAGATTTAAAGAAAAAAGAGCACATGGAGGCTGTCTCAGCCCCCACAACCTCTCTACCCCTGACTGCTGAGAGCAGCACCACCTCTTGAATGCAGCCCAGTGACTCAGCTTTAATTCAGATGTAGTCAGTGTAGAACTGCAGATCCCAGCATGCAGTGCATGCTACAAGGATTTGGAGAAGGAGAAAGGTTGGCTGGGTTGCCTTGCATGCTGGGAGCTGAAGTCTCTGTCCCTTTGTATTGAGGGGAGGTTGGCTGCAGTTGGCTCTGCCTGGTGCTGGCCTGAAGTCAGCACAGCACTATGCAGCTGTCCTCTGTGGGCTGTTCTGGTGGAGGATGACACTGCAGCATTAGCCAGGTGTGGGACAGGTCTGCCTGCTGAAGGTGCCCCAGCATTTGTGCAACTGCACTTCAGGTTGAAAATACAGAGGAGAATACCTTACAAAGCAACTGTCCTGCATGAAATGACCACCTGTAAGCAGTACCCACTCTCATCCCAAGTCCCTTAGGGTGACTGACCAACTGTGCCAAGCAGCTGGGAGCCAGGTACTGCCTCACCACTTGAAGCTCAAGGAGCAGAAAGGGAGGCCTGAGCTAGGTGGTATCCTGCAAGCTCCTACACCATGGCATTGGACAGGCACAGAGGCAGGTTGGAGCAGAGCCTGTGCCTACAACACCCCTGCAGCTGAAATCCCAGGACACCCTACAGCAGAGGTAAGCAACCCTCAGCACAGGTGCCAGAGCACGGCCCATGAAGGCATTTTGCTTGGCACGTGCACCTTGGGGCGGACAGCAGAGGAGGGGCTTGGGCTGTGCTGCCACAAGGATTGGGCTCCCCATGGCTCCCCAACCATTGGACCTTGGCACACCAACTTCTTGCAAGTGGAGCTTATGGGTGTTTTTGGCACTCTGCCCAAAAACATTACTGACCCCTGGCCTAGGGGGTCTTGGGCAGGGTGGGGTTGCCTGCTGCCCTTGTCTCTTACAAGGGCTGGCCCCAGGGCACATATCCCTGCACTTTGTGCTGCACGGTCCTGTACCTACCCTCCCCACACCAGCCACTACCCACCCCCACTTCCTGCTGATCCCCAAGCTTCCCCTGGTCATTCCTATCTGGGCAACACCAGACCTCCTGCTCTGTGGGATAGGGCTGGCAAAGATAAGGCACCCGCTCCATGTGAGTCATGTTCTTGGAGACTTTAATTCCACTAGAACAAAATACAAAACAGCAAACCAAATACAACATCCTACCCCAGGGAGGTGGGAGGGTGGGTGAGCAACTGCTGGGAGGTTGGGGCTGGGCTCCCTGCTGTGCCTGGGAGAGGCTCAGTGTCTACCCTAGGCAGGGAGGGGTGAGTGTGGTGCCCAGCAGTGGCATGAGGTCAGGACCCATCCACACCCCCACCCCAAGCAGCTGTTTCTACACAAGCAGAAAGACAAAGGACAGACCAGGCAGGCCTGGAAAACCCCACTCCACCCGCTACTGACCAGAGGGAACAAGTGAGACCACCACTAAGGGTGCTACAGTCAGTAGCAGCTATGGGTCCCCATTTCCCGACAGCAGTCAGAGGAGATGGGGACCCTGTGGGAGCTGGAAAACTTTTCCCACACACACTTTAGTCCACTTCCTCCATGCGAGATGCATCTTCTTCCCCCTCAAGAGGGGGGATTTCATCAGACACGACTGCGCTGGGCTCCTCTGCAGCTGCCACCTCCTCCTCATCAATACCTGGAGTAGGGGGTGAAGACATAGGCAGGTCAGTGGGGATTTGAGCTTAGCCCCACTGGTCTCAAACCAGTTGTACTGAAAGACCCTCCCCCTTGGCTCCATGTTTTTGGTTGGACAACTCTGAGCAAGAGGCCACTTTTCAGGGAAACTCTTGCACTTGCTAAAGAGCCTGAAAACATTTGCAATTCCAACAGGTCACTCAGGGTGTTCCAGCATGCCCCCCCCCCCCCCATTATAGCTCCTCTATGACAGGGAGCTATAAATCTCCCAAAACGCAGCACTCTGCTAGGAGTTTATTCAGCCTCTAGGGGACAGGGCATCCCCTCTACAGCTCCCCAGAGGCTCTGGCAGGCACATTTCAGACTTCACTGTGTTACTGGCAGAAAGATTCTGGTTTTCACCTTTTCTTCTTGAAAACTAAATGTCTTCCACTTAAGAAAACCCCTCCAAAGACATGCATTTCCACACCAGCTCTACCCTCACATAATGCCAGCATGTGCCACTGATTTTTCAATCTGGTCTTATGTCCAGGCCCTGGTACCTTAAGCCACTTACAGGCTACTCCAGCCACTACAGGACAAAGCCAATCCCCCCTCCCTGAGTAGGGCATGTCTGCTTTTGACTGGCGCGCACTGCCTCCTCCACATAAAAAGATGCACTCTGCATCCCTCACCTTCCCATCCCCAGCACTGAGCCACGATGGGAAAGCTGCCCCCCTCCAGAATCTCTATTTTGTCTAGGAATGGAGGGAAGGGTGAGATCTCCCTGTACTGGCCAGGAGAGGTGCCCCTGGGGCAGGATATGGAGCTACTACTCTGCCCCAAGGAGACCTGCTAGCCCAGGGGCAGCCAACCTGCAACACAAATGCCTCAGGCAGCCTCTGTGTGGCATAAATGATCAGGGAGGGAACAAAAAGCAGAGATCGAGCAAGGGAAAGGGATTGGCATGGCACACCTTAATTTGTGACAACCTGCCTGAAAGGTTGGTCCCCACTGTGCTAGACCAACAAAACCCAATGTGTCCTAACTCCCACCTTTGGGGCTTGCTGCTGAGGTCAGGATCCTTGAATTTCCAGTGCTGAGGGGATGGAAAAAGCACCTCCTTCCTTAGGGTCAGCTTACAGAGCCACAGCACCCTGACTGGCACACTTACCCAGCCCCAGCTTGATCATCCTGTAGATGCGGTTGGAGTGGGTCTGGGGATCTTCCAGGGAAAAGCCAGAAGACAGCAGAGCCGTCTCAAAGAGCAGCACCACCAGGTCTTTGACAGCTTTGTCATTCTTGTCAGCCTCAGCCTTCTGGCGTAGCGTCTCCACAATGGGGTGGTCGGGGTTGATCTCCAGGTGTTTCTTAGCCATCATGTAACCCATGGTGGAGTTGTCCCGCAGGGCCTGAGCCTTCATGATGCGCTCCATATTAGCCGTCCACCCATAGGTACTGGTGACGATGCAGCAGGGAGATGAGACCAGCCGGTTTGAAATGGTTACCTGGTGAGGTATGGAGTGTTAACCACTTGCATGCTGACCCCTGCTTGGTCACCTCCCATCTGACTGGCCCTGGTCACAACCCTGCTGGGGCTCCAGCATTCACATTAAGCACAGCTGGCAACACCCCTAGTGATGACCTGCAAAGACTACAGTTGAGTCCTGGCTGTCAAAAAAGGCACAGATGCCCTCCACAGCCCAGCACCTTGCATGTACAATCACTGGATCACCACCA